ATGAGAAGACCCATGAACAGATACTGCTGCAGTACTGGCCTGCACTGCAAATCCTGCCAGAAGTGTCTCAGTATTGTTGTCATGTGCCTGGCCTCTTCTGTTCTCAAGTGAATGCTATATTGGGTGAGGAAACAGTATACATAGATTTTACCAGTGACCTTTTCCTCCTGCTCTTCTTTTCCTAAATGTTAATATTAACTGTTCCCCTTTTCATCCCTTTTCAGCCTGCAAGCTGTTTAGGAACAATAATTTATTCTCACAAGTGTTCAGGGAGGCAAGTAGATATAGTTACCACATTTTGGTGAAAGGATAATTGAAATGCAAAGTTCAATGAACTTCTTAAAGTGATATAATTAAGGTTATATTTTTGTTTACAGTTTTTTGAACAATGCAGAGAAAATATTCTCGAAAATATTAATCTACTTCACCTAGGTGTAAATGAGATTCATTGACTTCAGACTAAATTACTTTTCTTCATGTCAGCCAGGGATGACAGAGATCAGCAGCTGGTTAAATTTCACTTAACAGTCCAGATATCCCCCTCCAGAACTAACACCATCATCCTTTTCCATGGCAGCTGCACTCAACAGCAGCATTCTGCACAAGCTTTACTGTAAATCACTTTGAAAGCAAGTTTGTAGTATATGTGCAAAGTCTTCTGTCAGTAGTCTTTCATTCAGTGTAAACCTGTCTTCTGTGATTGCCTTTGCCCTGGTGATGGACTTGTAAAGCTACTTGGTGCTGAGCAGTAGGAGCACTAGCACAGTCATTCAGCTTGGAGTATAAGGTAGTAATTTCACTCTCCTCACAGATGTTTTACTGCCTTTGTAGCAACAAAGCCCAGCCACCAAACATAGGAATAAATCACCAAATCCTGAGCTTCTGCATTCCTATTTTCATCCTCCCATTTTATCAGCAGTAGATTAGGGTAGAACAGCAATGTCTTCCCTTAATTTCATGGCAAAACAACACTGACATGCCAAGCCATCATCAAAAATACCAGCATGAAATGGTCATCACTCCATGTGCTAACAGAAGTATCCAACTGCCTTTGCCAAATATATTCCTTTTGAAAGTGTTGCTTCAAAAGACACAGTAGATGGAATAGTTTTTGAGCTTGTCCAAGCTGAGAACTTCCAGGAAGACAAAAATCAAATCATTCCCCAGAACATAGCAACTAGTTTCTGCTAGAAAATGGTCACGATTGTGCTGAAAAATTACCACAGTTTCCTTTAATCCTAGTAGGATTAATCCAGGAATGTTACAAGAACATACTCAGCATAAAAACAGTGGTTTCAAATTTTCTTATTATAATTAATGCTTCATAAAATTCTAGGCTACAACTGTGTACTGTACAAATAAACAAATAAACTCTATAAATCTAACAAACTGCCTTTGAGAAAAAGTAAATTTCCTTTTTTTAGTTTGATAGAAGGAATCAAACTGTGGATCTCTTTTTTCACTTATATATGTATTTCTCTTAATAAAATACATTTAAAGTGACATTTGTCCTTGTCTGTTGACAAGTCATGATATATTTGTTTTGGTACTTCAGAGGCAACATTCCTTCATTTGATAACAATTTTGGTAGGACTGAATGCCTTGCCAGCAAACAGAGCTTCAGGAAGCTTTGCCCTTCATTTCCACTGGACAAAAAATATACTCCTAGTGTGGCAATTAAGGAGCAGAAGCTAGTATAATGCATATAATACATCCTTGGTGCTTAAGAGCCCAAGAAATACACTATATTGCAAGGCAAAACCAGGAGTGTGGCCAGGTCCAGTTCCTTTATGCTCTGGAGAAAATTAAGGAAGCATTGCTGCTTCTTACTTTCACATGTGGTTTGTGTGTTGCTTGCAATTTACCCAGTCAAGTAAATTTTGCCCTTAATGTGGCAGTTTCAACAATGCCTGGAGCTATTAAAAGTGTGCTATATACTTTCACCTGAATTTTGCCCTTTATGGACTGATGGACTTGTTTCTTGAGGTATACAGATTTATTTTTAAGAGACTACCATTTCTTCCATTCTCTCTCCTACTAAAGCTCCCTTTGTTCTGTCTCATCTAGGCCACATAAAAAGCTTGCAGCCACTCTTTTGTACTGGCTTTGCTGAACTTTCTGAATCTTTCCTTTCTCAACTACTAGCAGCAGAGTTAGAGGTTCCCATGGAAACAATTGGGTAAATAATGCAAAACTTGTTGAAGAACTCCCAGAGCCCGAGCTGTAAGTGGAGCTTCACACTATCATCCTGATTGTTTAAGGGCCTTTTCTTGAAGTGACCATGTAAAGTGTTAGAGAACAAGTAAATGACAGCAGACTGACTTTGGGGTAAGAACTATAAACAGGCCTACACGATTTTATCTAGTGTCATGGAAGCACTTAAGAAGAGTGGTTATAATGTATTTTGTTTTTTGCTATTATCCTGTGTGTCACAGAATGACAGAATTACTTGGGTTGGAAGGGACCTTAAAGTTCCTGGGACTCCTTGTAATTCTAAAGAACAAGCATATTTTCATAATTTCCATAGCAACATCCATTATGAGATGGAGCTATTCAGCTAATTCATTATTGCTGTTGATTTTACACAAAAAGCTGCTTTTGAAACTAACACTTAAGAAAAAGTAGCCCATATTTCCCTGCTCCTCATGTTACAAATACTGTTGAGACTTTGCAATATGACTTCCTCCTTCCAGCCATTACATGATTCTATCAAAATATTTAAAAAAAAAAAATTTAAAAATTTACACAATTATGTGTTTTCATATGAACAATCTTAGCAATGGTATCTTTATTTTTTTGCTGCCACAAGGACTGGGGCAGGACCTATACCACCTCTAAGTCCTAAGCTCACTGCCAGGTCTATGTCCTCGGAATAAATTTAAGCTTGGGATCCTTCAGTTCTTTTTCCTTACCTGATTACATTTATGTCTGCCTGATCTGCACCAGGGCTGGCTCACAGTCAAACAGAGACTGGATCAATGCAGACTCTTGTCACTGTGAGTTTGTGGATGCTGGGTTTCCACTTCATCTAACATATAAACAAACCTGGGATGCAACACCTCTGACAGGGGAGTACCTAAGGGCTGCAGCTGAGGGACTGGAGGTGTCTTGGTCATCCATGGCTTACACCAGTTTATGTCATGGGCTGCTGCAGGGTTCAAGGATCATTGCTATCACAGTGGCATCAGCTGACCATACAGTGCATTGTGTCATTAATCCTTACCCCAGAGCTTACCCCAAACTGTTCATGATTCTGACTTTTATCTACAAATCAACTCAGGATAAGAATGGTTGCTATCATTCATAGCTAGAACTGCAAAATATTTTTTTTAATGGGTAAAATTTTGAAAAGTATATGATTTGAAATTTATAAAGTGCTATTTAAAAAGGGAGGATTCCACAGTTCTTCATGAACTACAGATATGAACACCCTTAAAAACTCAGCTTCTGGCACACAGATGTCGCTTACTATTCTTAGTTACTATTTACATTGTGGATAATGTATAGAAACTCCAGGCATGGATAGGGATGCCACAGTGATTGATGGCACACTGACAAAGAATGAAAAGGCAGCCCTTGTTCTAAAGATCCTAATGCCATACCCTACACAGGAAGAAGTGACAAGGATAATAATTCAAACTTGAGATGCATCTCCTTGCTGTCTGGACAGCTGGGCATTGGTGGTGCCAGATGTGTGTATCTGCTGCTGTGGCACACAAAACTGTGCTCACCTCACACGTTTCTCTGTGTGGGCCCCACTGCAAAAGCAGGTGTAAATATCTGTACAGGTGTTCTGCAGGCAACAAACTGGGGATATAAATATTAAAGAAAGTTTAATTTTCACGAAGTGTCTCTCTTCCCCAAGAAATATGCATCCCCACTGAAGGCTCTAAAGAGTGCACTGCATTCATCTATCCTGCCACTGTCCTAAAACAGGGCTCCAGTAGCTGCAGACCAGAGGTAAGGTTGCTAGCTGATGGAACTCCAGTGACTGTTCTGAGGGCAGATATGTTCCCAAAAGATGTCTTGTGTTTATGCCAGAGCATATATATATGTCCTTTATATGGACACGTTATTGCAGCTACATGTTTTTTTCCCCACAGCTAGTGTTGAGTAAGGCCCTGCTGATCTCAGAGTTGATAGCAGACAGAGCAGGAAGTTATTCTCCCTCCTCTGCGACATTCAAAACAGTAAGTACTTCAGGAAGAGATCTGCAAATCTCAAATCATTCCTAATCAGGTTCCTACCCTGGATCTAAAGAGGTGCTGGAATCTACCTATTCTGTCAAATAATCACTCTACAAGGTGAAACCTTCATCAGAGCCAGGAGCCAGTTGAGAGCTACTGTCTCTGTGAGTGCTACATTATTTCCAACTCAAGGGATTAAATAAAATAAAAAAAAGAAAAAGTGCTGTTCTAACTTTTTTTTTAGTTTGAGCCTTTCTTTCTGATTGTTTACTTTTAGTCACCTTCACCAGCAAATAAACTCACTTCTGATTGAAGCAAAAGCTTAGACTGTACTGTAACCCCTGGACTACTGACCACAAAGCAAATATAACACATTACAAGAGTCAGAGAAGGGGTTGCTAATACTGTTTATCTTACAGTAGTGCTTAATTCCCACGGAATTCTATTTTGTGTGGTACTGCATGCACTTATTGAGGGACAGTTTCATCTCCAAAAAGCTAAACACTTAGCTGTAGAAGACAAGATAAAAAGAAGAATAACTGTGTTTTAAACATACGAGTTTAGAAATAATAAAGTCTAAACTAGAACTTAAAGAAAACTAATACCTAGATTCATGTTACCTATATCTGAAGAAGGCACAAGCTAAACATCCAAATGAGCCCATGGTTTTCTTCTGTAGTAAATAGAGAGAGGAGCATACAGCTCAAATACATGTGAATAATCCCCCTTTTCAGGAATAATTTACATAATTAGTTTTAATTAGGCATTACTGCAACAAGAGCTGGTTGGGATTAATCATTCTGTATGACTTACCCAAGGAAACATCAGAAATTAATGCTGGAGTATGACCCAGAGTCATCTGTCTTCTTCGATATCCTGGTTTCAACTTAATATATTGTATTTTACTTCCCTTCTGATATAGCAGAAAGTTCAAGTAGTTGATATAACCTAAAAATTAAAAGGGAATTAATACAAAATGTTAGTATTTTGGGGTAATTTCTGTTTTTGTCTGCTCTAGTTAAGGGTCCTTCTATTCACAATAGTTCAACAATACTATTTCTGGAAAAATTCTCTCGCACTTCATTTTAATCTGAAGCACAGCATGTTTCACTAAAGCTCTATTTGCTGTGAAATATAGCTTTAAAATATACTGCTATTCAAGTAGGAGACAAAAGCTACACTGAAAAACAGGGTACAGCCTTTTAAAGTTAGACATCAAGAAAAATTATCTTTTCTCTCTACTGTTTTAATCACTATGTGCTTACAAAAATGCTCTAGCTAGTATTTTTTGTGTGATTCTCCCATGTCCTCTGAGAGTGAGAGATCATCTGCAGTTGGAGACAAAGTAGGTCAGCATAGAGCTGGCATTTGGTTTATGAGATAGCCAGCATTGTGTACTTCCCTTCCCATTCTGAGGAATACAGATGTCTGGGTGTTAGGGGCTTGGGGACTGACGTTCTTGTCACCCATGTTAACTTCTGGTAATGAACTGAAAGTTCAAACAGAAAAGATAAGGGCTTTTTGTTCGCTCACTGAGGTCCTCTGACCTTGCAGTTGCACCAAGATTGATACTGAGACTGAGGTGGTCTTTCTCTGCTGACTAGCCCTCAAAGCACTTAGCTGTGATCAACAGCAGTTTGTCACAAACTGGTGTTTCTTGGAGTTGTAAATAGAGCATGTCCCCTCAGATGGGACAAACTGGTTCAAATTGTTCTCAGATTCAAACTGGTTCAGACTGAGATTCTTCACATAGAAACTCTAAAAGCTGTTCATCACAAATGTTCATGTATCAACTCATATCACTGACTTTCTGAGAAAAGAGGTGTTGATGAAAACTACATTATACTGGTGTATGCAAGAAGCACAGAATAATTTTCTAATACTGTACATACAGGTGTACTGGACAGAAACCTGGGATTCTGCAGACATAGGTATATAAAATATCTTTGATTCTAACAGCAGATTTTCCAGTGTGCTCAAGTTCCACAGATGATCACAGAGTTTCCTATGATATTTCTCATGTCAAGACCTGTTGCTATATACACTTAATGCAGAGAAACTGTAGAGTAGTTGCATGGATGGTGACAACATTTCAAACTTTTTTGTTTTTCAACTTTCCCACCACAACACAGGAAGGAGTATGGGAGAGAAGGAAAAATTGTTTGCACCTGGTGAGTTAATACAATGATCATTTTGTAAAATCATTAGCCTATGGAACCATACTATTTAATCTACAATAAACATTAACCAAGGAAAGGAATAAGAAACTATACTTCATTGATCTAAAGACTTGTAGGTTAATGAACTAGGCCAGTTATGCCAACTTTTCTCCTAATTTAGGACATAGTACCAAGTTCATAAGGCAGTCAAGTAAAACTTTAGAATCACCAGCTACTGGAGGGACACCTGGGAGAGGAGAACGCATGGTCCAATGGGAGGGAATGCTAATGGCTCCAGGGAAGTGGTTATTGCATATGTATTTCTTCTGAAAAACCTATCTATAGTATCAAAAATATAGCATATACACAGGAACCTTTTCTGTACTCAGGATGCATGGTATTTCAGAGGAAATATCCCCTCAGGCATCTGCTGCCAAATAAAGAATATACCTGTTTCTTGTGCTACATATTTCTTAATGCTACATTGTTGTTAAAAAATTTTATTGTACTGATTTTTGGTAAAAGAGAGATGCCAAGTGCACTGCTCTACTGAAGCAGATTTTTGCACAGTGCAAAATTAGAAAATGGTACTTTCACTGGAAAGAAATATTTTTAGCCGCATGCCTTAGCAGAGGAGTCGTTCACTATGCTATTCTGTAAATCTTGGATGGATTCACTGAGAATAGTCAACTGTGTGATCTTCATCTGTGGTCTTTCATACCTGGCAAAAGTAAATCTTGCAGTATTATAGAGTACCTATGATCCTAAGCTGAGGAATGGTGACAGCAAGCCTCAATTTGTTCGTCATTCATGAATTACCACCCTGTTATTTTCTTCCTAGGAGTATGAAGGTTTTATGTCATACGTGCTTGGGCTAAAAGACCATATGTTTGTAAATACCTTCATTGCTTTGTTTTATTTAAGTAAATATTCTTATTGCAACAAGTATTTCAGACTTAAAATCACATATGCATTGGTTTTTTTCAGATTTTCCATTTTAATAAAAGGCCTAAGAAATGCTGCAACTTTCTTCAGAATTTGCTGTGATGTCCAAATCACAGTTGCACTTTTGCGGGATCTATCATCACTTTGTGCCTTAACTTCTGCACTTACAACACTCCCATTATTATGACTTAAAGAGAGAATACATACAAATTATTCAAATGTTTGCCTTCTTGTTCCTTTGGGTGTTGCTAATTCCTGAGCAACCTTTCCTGAATCAAATTCATAGCTGTTTTCAAAAGGAGCTCTTCTCCAGATACATACCTACGTTGGCAAACTGACAATAAGTAAACTATCAGCAGAAGCCATATAACAGAGTGTAGATAAAAAAATAGTTTAAAAACGCTCAGTTAGACAAATAATAAGAACTGACATATCAATAGTCTGAGCATTTAAAGTTCCTTACCTGTCTTCTTTGAAAATCATGAATGAGACTCAACAGTTTGAAAATATCTCTTTTCAGACCCCAGCTAACTTTATGATTAGATGAGCTTTGCTGCTATTAAAATCACAAATGTGTGTATACATGAGCCATCTCAAAACTCAGAATACAGATAACCCATAGCTGGGACAATTTCCAAGCTGCAATTTTCCCAAACACACCATGCTGCAAATTGTATATCTTTTGGCCTTTAAGGATGAAGACATGGTTAAATACATCTGTATATATATTGCCCATTTTACCATTGAAGTAATGAGTCACACCACTAAAATGATGGTTTGTTTTAAAAACTATGAAATCTGAGGTTTTTTCTCAGTGAAACAAATGTGTGTCTAGTTGCACTGAGAGCTTTTTATCTCCTTAAACTAAACTTTTGACCATATATCAACTTCTTATTGTTTTATAATATATCACATTAGTAGAAAAATCATGGGGGAAAATAAAGTTCTTTTAAGAGGAAGAATATTGCAGAAAAGCAGTGCAAAATGTGGGAAGAAGTCACAGGATAAGAGGAAGAATATTGCATGAAAGTATTGCACAACGTGGGAAGAAATCAGCTCTCTCCTGTCATTGATGATTATTATTTTTTGCAATGTGTTTGCTACACCAAATCTGCCTAGTGATCTTATAGTTAGGATCTAGTTTTATCCTCTGTGTCATTTGCATGAAAATACTACAAGCCAGTTGCACCAGAAAGTACTTCTGCTGATGAAATCTAAATGTACCAGCTTCAGTTCAAAGGAGGTCTGTAGTGCAAAGCCAACAGTGGCCAACAGTGAAACTGCCATTATGCTCAGAGCTATCTATATATCTTAAGTGCCTTTCCTGTTCTTTCTCTTTCCACGAAAAAAAAAAAGAAAAAAAAAAAAAAGTCCATTTGAGTAAAAGACAAGTGCTTTTTTCCCATTCTTGTACTTATTTATGGCATATCTTCTCAATCACTATGTGCAAAGTAAAGGACCAAAACATCCCAGGTAACATATGCAGCAAAGATTGACAGGCAAAGCTAGGTAGCCTTAAAACAGAATTTCCTAAAATATCGTAGTAGATATTGTAAGACAGCTATCTTACAATGAAATCAAGGAAGTTGACATTTGATAATTGTGCATGGGAGTACCTTTATATCTTATTATTATGTAAATACATTTAGAAATCCAAACTGCACATAGGTTAAGCTGCTACTTGTTCTTCTATGAAACGGTAGTTGGTACATTGTTAATTTAAAATTAACAGGCAGGATTGAAAAATACCTGAGATGCAGAGTACCAGAAAGCCACTTTGAGTTATAAGAGCAAATCCAAAGCTTGAAGGAACAGAAATTCTCTTCTCAAAGGTGCTATAAAGTATACAGTCTGAGTGGAGGTAATTTTGCCTTCTGTTTCCTACATGGGCTGGAGGGAAATGGCATCAACAAAGAAACAGTGGTAGCTTGGTATTTGAGATTAATAATTTGTTAACAAGAACAAAACATAAAGCCATTTCATTCTGTACATCTCTGTTAAGTGTTGGTGCTGTTTGATACTAGCTGAGAATTCTCTTCAGCAGGCTGTTTTAAGTAAAAGGTTAGTTAATTGAGCTAGCCATTGCTTGGAGCAATGACAGATGTGAATCTGAAGTATCATTTAGCCCATGATAAGTAGTCTTAGTTCAAATTTCCATTCTGAAGTGAGGAGGCAAAGCTGATTCAAGGGGGTTCAACAAGGTGAAGCACCCTTGGGTCACAGCCTCACACAGTGCTACAGGCTGGGACAGGGTGCCTGTCAAGAAAGGACCTGGGTATGCTGGTGAACAATGGCTGAACATGAGCCAGCCCAGGTGGCCAAGAAGGCCAGCAGCAGCATCCTGGCCTGTATCAGCAATAGTGTGGCCAGCAGTCAGGGCAGTGACTTTCCTGTTGTACTGGGCACTGGTGAGGCCACACCTTGAGTGCTGTGTCCTGTTCTGGGCTCTTCACTACAAGACATTGAGCAAGTCAAGAGGAGGGGAAGGGACGTGGCAAAGGGTCTGGAACAAATGTCATATGAGGAGCAGCTGAGGGAGCTGGGGGTGTTTAGCCTGGAGTAGACTCTGGGGAGATCTCATCACTCATTGGAGCTGCCTGAAAGGAGGTTGGAGCTAGGTGGGGGTCAGTCCTGTCTCCTGGCAACTAGTGACAGGACAAGAAGAAACAGCTGTGCCAGGGAAGGATTATGATGGATATTAGAAAAAAATTCTTCACCAAAAGTGTTGTCAAACATTGAAACAGAGTGTCCATGGAAGTAAGGGGATCACCATCCCTGAAGTGTTTGAAAAACATGTAGATGTGGTGTCTGTAGTGGTGTGGTGAGCACGGTGGTGCTGGGTTA